TAATTATTGTATTATTTTGTCAAAAGCTTTCGAGTAGTTGATGTAGTACTGAATGTACTCTTGTTTTTTATGATTTTTACATATCTTATATTTTGAACAATTATCGGCTTGTTAGTAATAAAATTTATTTTCCCAGTCATGATTAGGCTTCTGCGCAACTTTTTCGCGCATACAAACTACATGTGATTCCCACTCTCAGACCCCTTGCTCCACAGAACAGCTGAGATCTCAGTTATTTGATAATATTGAAGTACTTACACGTGAATCTGGATATGTTGTCATGTATAAGTACGAAGGCTTTCACGGCCGGTGTTAATTAAACTAAAATTAGAACTAAAACTAGAACTAACACTAGAAACTTTCGGGTTTCGCCGTGCGTCTTTTAATAAAAGGTTTGACGTTTCGGATGCCATGTTGCAACCTTCTTCCGAAACTGGTTTGAAGTGACTGGTCCACCTGCATAAATTGGTTAGCAGTATTATTTTAAGAATAAAGATACAATAACATTTCGACCAAAGCTAGAACACCAGTAAGATGCGACACAACAACGTTAGCGGAAATCCATTGTGGAATGTCCAAGCTGAGCTATCAATTATGCCATCTAACAAAACGTATGGGAAGTACTCTGAGAAAGCAGAAGATTTAGTAGGAGGTAATGAAGATTTTTATGTCTGACGAGTACCCTTTCAATTATTGACAGAGTACCAAATCTCCAGTAGCTATTAACTTCTTAGTTACTTCTTAGTTGTTATTAATTTACAAATTACGGTTATACTTCAACCTAGAATAAACAAATATGGCTTGATGATAAATTTACATTTCAGACTAAACTAATATAGTTTAGAGTCTATGCTACGTCGTCTTTATGCCTTTTAACACATTGAGCGCCACTTGACCATTAGCGCATAAAGTCGATTTTGCTCAGGTAACATAAGAAATCATATCTTTTTCATTTTCATCACATGTTTTTCTAGTTTTGTAACTACCAACCATCTGGAAACATCATTTACTTAACTTCTCTCTGGTAAGGTCACATATACATCGAATCATTCTGAATACATCATTCTGAATTGTGGCTACTTCGCGCACGTGAACATAAACACATTGGAGTATACAAATATTAGACAAACGAGGACGGAGGGGATCCGGAGTTACTATAATTATATGTCTGAAACAACCACATGTGCAAAAAAAAAACATAGCGATGGCTCATCCAAAGAGAAGTGGAGCAAGCGACGTTGCTAAATCATTGGTAGCTGCTGTTTTTCTAACAATGATGCCAATTATTACTTCCGAAGTTGCTATTATCATCTTCAATAAGTTTGCAAAGATTATCCTCATTGTGATCATTAATTATTACTTCATATAGTAAAGATGTCGTTGAAAGACTTACTCTAGATTCTATTTCAAACGTAGAATTGTAACCTAGTGGCTTTATGCATGCATAATAAACTCTGTTTTTCATAAATTGGACATATCTCAAGCCTCCGTCCCAATTTGTTGATTGATTGTCTTTTAATCAACAATTCATATACTTTAATTTATATATTTTCGATATCTTGGTTGGCACATTCTACGGAGTACTAACTTTAACTATGCTTAAATTTTTCGTGCTTAAGATCTGCCTAAAAATTTGCGCTTTCATCTATAACACAATTAATAGATTTGCTTCCATTATCTGATTATAGAATACATGCTGCCCTTATGATTTAAAATATGTCATTTAAGTGGTAGGCTGATTTTCCTGCTGTTTTAGATTCTTCCTTGCTGCACTAGTCTAAAGTGCGTATTTATTATTAGACCAAATTAATAATAATGTTATACATTCACAAAGAGTCCAAACAGAACAAATAACTTAATTGGAAATCTTATAATTTGTTCAAAACAGCCACAGATTTAACTACTATAACTTTAGCTCCATCATCGTTTTTTTATACATCATTGTCCAGATGTACTTATTATTTTTATCTCAAATTTCCAGCACTCTATTCAAAGAATACATGTTCTTAGCCGCAAGAATTTCCTTTAGATTTAAGCTGTTTGTGATATCAGGTGCAGACAAAGAATGGATCAGATCATTAATATCTTAATAATATTCGTAGCTAGCTATTCTAGATAGTGTAGCTATTGTAGATCATTGCGTTTATTTGCTTGACCTTACAAATCACCTAACATATCAAGATTTCTGCTGCTTTAATTTGATGAGGTGTATCAGAATCAGTAATCCATTTCACTTATTATTGGAACGGTCAGGTTTATTTAGAAAAAAAAAAAGTTTCAGTGTGTCAAATTCAGAAATGTCAGAAATTTAATATAAATAGAGATGGTATCCCGTTAAATATGGCAGCTTGTACAATGTATATATTGAATATCTTTAACATGACATATATGAACATTTATATATCATGATGTATGATATACAAATCACGGACAAAAATTATTCTCCAACTATAGGCATCCCAGCATAGCTTGTCAGTAAATTAAATAAATATCAATTATTAATCAAAATGTAGGAATGACTTCATTATTATCTATAAAAAGTAGTTCCAGACACAACTTCTAGCTATTGGCTATCTACATTTTGTCAAAAGTAAAAGTAATATTGTAAGTAGTTTTCTGCCCTTAAATGAGTTCATTTATGCTTAATTCTTTGACTTTGATGATCTAACACCATAATAATCAAACGTACTGTTGGCAAAAGAATATCTCGAAACAATCTTTTAGCTCGTTAACTGATACTCCCGTTTATGAACGTGGCGATTTAAAATTCAAAACTGTAACGAAAGATCGCCAAAGATATAAAAAAATTTTACATTTTCCGTATTACGATACCTCTGAATCTACCACACCGCCTAAAAAGCAAAAGATGCATCGTGTCCGGTTAAGATAAGTATTGCGATGCATAAATTGCAAAGTAAGAAACACAGTCATAAAATTTGCAAAATTGGCTTCAATCACAAAAGATTACAAATTAAATATTATGTCACCACTCCATACCAACACCATAAATCGCTGTGGTTATTATGACTCAAATTAAAAGGGTTGATAAAGTTTTAATAAAACATTTGAAAATTCATAATTTCTAAAATAATATTCAAAATTTCTATAAATCTTTAAAAATCGTTTCGGTTTGTTGAGTTGTATATAAAAACCAGCCAAGTCAGACTAGTCCAATTATAATCCTATTACCGCGTGAGGAGGTAGGTTTATTGAACAATACGTAATCATCCTAATAACATGCTTCCTTAATTAACATATTTATTAGTTATTAAAGGTATTTGGAGGTGAGGTAAGATGGTCGTCTCCCAAAGGTAGCCAGCGTGTGGCCAAATCCGTCACTTCTGGGTTCTTAACTTAAAAAAAAAATGTACTGAGTCATCGTTTCTTTTCTACCAACACAATTTTTCCATTAACTCTACCACTCTTTAAAAATAAATTTTTAAATCAAGTTTAATGTTGTAGTTGTAAAAATTTTAAATAAATATATACTTACCGTTTTCCTTCCAATTAAATTATTCATTAAATAGTTTTTTAAAACTGAATAGAAGAATAATAAATGTGTTTTTAATGTATTCCACGTTCGAAAAACGAAGAGGACACCTGCCCACATCTGTACAGGTATCACGAATTTTCCCCACCTTCTTCTTTTTGTATAAGCTACATTGAATTCAGTCGGTTTCTTCTCCATTATTAACCCATATCCGAGTTTGACACGGTCCACATGCAACCGTTTATAGCTGTTATGTTAATTTTATTAACGCGTTTCGCTTTTCGTAAAAGGCAAGGGATTCTGAGGAAAAAAGGGTAGGACGATGATGACTTTAAAAAAATAAGACGACTTCGTTCTGGATTTAAATATTTTTATGTATCACACAAAGGGGATATACATACATCGAGTTTTCTTTTTATTTTTATTTACACGTCTGGATCGATTCATTTTTTTTTGCTTTGTAATTATTTCTATTTTTAATATTTAAAATACAATTTTCACCATTTTAATTAGAAAACCGATAGTGTTGGGTTTTCTGTCATCCGAATTTATTTTTAGACGAATTTAAAAGACAAAAATGTAAATGGGGGGAACAATAGAAACTGAAATTGAACATGATAAAAAAATAAACAAAAATAAAAAAAAATCGTACGACAAGAGAGATAACGAATGTTTGATGATTCGATTTCTATTGTTCTGATGGCATGCAAAGGTTGAGTGTCTAGTATTTTACGCATCAACGAACGAGTGGGGAAAAAATAAATAGATTAAAATTAACTACACAATCTCTTTAATAATTATAATAATTAAAAAATAATAATGTTTAATATTTGTACTTTACAATAAATTACATTTAATTAAACTGAAAATAGGAAACAACACAAGAAGATTTTTCTCTTTTTTTTTCTAATTACTACATTCTAAACGGATTTCATCGCGTAATATACAAGACACAAATAGTTTTAAATTTAATTCCACAATAATTAAAAAATTGGTCAATCGGTGTCATTAATAAACGTACAAAGAAATGCAGTCTATAAAAAGTAAAAGTCTGATCATCCCCGCCCAATATTATTATTTTTTTAAAGTTTTTCTTTATTAAAATTTGACTTGGGACTTGACGCAAGCATAAGTGATCAGAATTAATGTTTTTTTTTAATGTCCACAAACGCACGGGTTCAAGATTGCACTTTTCTTTACGATATTACGATAATAAATTCATTCGCTATGTACATTTACACTTGTAATAAAAAGGTCGAACCCCGCAACGTCGACGTTTTTTTTTCGACGCCACTTCCGCCGGCTACACGCTATTTACAATACATTACAAACGACTGAACTTTGTACTTAAAATTTACACATTACAATCGAAACGATTATCAATCAAAAAATGCTTTAATAATTTATCAAGAACTTTTTGATTGACACGTTTTAGAATTATTATTTTTTACTCTTCACACTTTCTTTTAATTTTTAATCGGCTTTAATCCCTTTCATTTCACTTAAAATTTTTTTATTTATATTTTTTATAGAGTTTGTAGAATATTTACAAAAATTTCTTTTTTTTTTATTTTAAAATCTTACATACTAAAACTTAAGACTTGAAGTGGTTTTCTTCGGGATGCCGATTAACTCATCACGTATATTCTGATCTCCAACCAGTCTGAAATTAATAGAAAACAAATTGTTTAGAGAATTTTGAATAATGTTTGAAGAATTGATGTTTGTTATAATAATAATAAAATGGTACGCATAGATGGTCTTTATCGAATATTATATAATTAATTAAAAATCAACGTCTAACATCATAAAGTCTTTAAAGTTTTCAGAACTACATTTCTTTCTGAAATATATTATATTGTACTCATATGCTTATAAATGTTGTAAAAACTAGTTTGTTCTGGTTTTACTAGGTAGAGTTAGGATGGTTCAAAGTTTTCTAGGTAAAGGAGGAATTTAGTTTGTGGGGAATTTATGTTTGGAGTTTTGTGTAAGATTTTTGGTGGTGTTTTATATTGAATGAGTGTGTTGTGGTGGATTTTGGTTGCGTTGTGGAGGTGTCGGATGTTTATGTATCCATTAGAGTTGAAAATAATTGTAATGGTTTTATTTTGACATTGTTTTATTAATGGTTTTACACCGATGAAGACCTTCGATCTAATCTATGTAGACGATATAATACTGATAAAACCAAGATTATGCACATACCGAAACAGCAAGCAGAAGAAAACATAAATATACAAGTAAACGAGGTGATACTGGAAACAGTAGAATTCAAATATTTGGGTACCATTATTACTAAGAATGGAACAACACAATTGCAGGAAAAAAAGGAAGTAAAAACCAATATAAAAACATAAATCCATAAAACCATACACCAACCCCTACATATCAAGCCAATGACGATGACAGATAACATAACATAAAACTAACAGCTGCTGAAATGAAATTCTTAAGAAAGATCGTGGCAAAAACTAGAAAATATCGAATTAGAAACAAAAGTATAAGAGAATAAACAGCTGAGCTAATATAGCTAACCCGGAAAAGAGAATCCTTAAAGAATGATGGACATAGCTAAACAACGGAAGAGTGATAGGCCAGAGATAAAATAAGAAGGTAATGTAGAAGAGATAGTTATGAGTACGATAAGGAACTGAAACAATTCTAGAAGATGGATAGAGAATCCCATCAACCTCCTAACGCTATGATGGCACCTAAGAGAAATGATAAAGAAGAAGAATACGACTGCATATAGGAGGAGCTTTTTCTTATTTGGCATTTGCTATAGATTTTTGTTAGTCAAAAAAACATGGATTCTGATAGGGTTTATGTGATTTATTTATGTAAATGAGGATTTAGACACTTTGGGAAATACAGATATTTTCTATAGATAGTAATATATTTCGTGGCATCTATTATATGTTAAATGAGTGCGAGTATAGGCAGTTTTTGGAATCTTTGGAGTGGGCGTAGATGACTGTCATGTTGGCGAGCTTTATTTGGGAGATTTGACAAATCGGCGGTGTTAACGCTGAATAGATGTGGGACGATAATAACTGCTCCTGGTGATACTCCAGATTCGATGTTCTTAGGTTTTGATAAGATGTAGTTGATTTTAACTTTTATCTTGCAGGAAAAGAGATTTGGTGAGGTTTGATAAGGCAGGGAGGCTATCTGAACTGGTTTTATTTGCGGATAATCCATCGGCCCATACGGTATTGAAGGCTTTTTCAGTGTAGGACCTTGTATTAGGGTGAGAGTAGGAAATAAGTCTGGTGAGGATGATTTTTTTCTGCTACTTTGCAGATGAAAGGTGGGAGTGATACTGAGTGACATAGCTTGATGGTACTGTTAAGTCGTTATTTGGTTTGAGAATAAGGATGATGGTATTCGTTTCTGCATTATTGTTTTATTGCAATCAATTTGGGATTTGTAGGGGGTTCGTGTTGTTATTTAAAGAATTATTTAGTTTATTTGGAGATTTCGATTTCTTGGGAATTGATATAGGTTATTTATTTTTGTGGATGTTAGAGGTTGGCCTTTGCAAAATACGTGAATTTGTAGAAGTTTTAAGATGGGTTTAAATCTGTTTTGTTACGCTTCAGAATTGTATTTTTTCCATTTGACTATTTAAAAGATAATATTAGATTATAGCATTTGTGTTGTGGGTACGTTGAAATTGACGGCAGAAATTGTTGCGAGTTTGGATTAGGATTGCTATGTGTGACTTAGTTGAGGTGTGAGTTTGGAATGTGTTAAGGATTAGAGCGGTGTGTTTTGCGGTTGAGGACTTGCAGTTCAAGATAGGACACGAAGCTATCTACCAGATTAACCTATTACAGCTGACTTAAAACACAACATGTCTTCAAATAATTACTATATCCCTCAGGTTTTCTATTTATTTTATTAAATATCTCAACCTCAATTTTACAAACGCTGTCTCAAAAATGTTCTGATATCTCGCACATATTTTGCTACTATCAAAAACAATTAGTTTTTATTAGTCTTTTAACAAAAAAATACAACAATTTAGGAATATGTTTTTTTCAATGTTGTTCCACCTTATTTTAGTAACTAATTAGTAGAGTTCGGAGTAGAGTGGGAATATCCTTCATCCAATAATATTTTCCATATTCAACTGAGCTCCCAACCTTCCTCTCTGTTAACATTGTTCTTATTGCGATAACTTTCTGGAGCCTTTTTGGCCATCCTGTGTTAATAGTGTAACTATATATCTTATCTTGTCCAAATCAATGAAAGCGTTCTGTATAGCAATGCTCTGAATAACCGAATTAGTTGGCCTATCTCAATCTCAATCATAATATCTCTTTCATATTGCTTTATACGACATTTGAAGTTCCATCCCTTGTACTATACGGTACTTCCCACATTTACGTAATAATTTGTATTCTCCAGAAGAAGTTTGTCCTTTGCTATTGGTTATGTATGAAGTGCCCACAAAAAATACACTAAGTTGGTTAAGATATATCAGAACTAAATGAAAGCTACTCGATAGAATTCTTTGAATTAGAACTGAGACGACCAATAACAAATTACGAGTCAGCTAAATCCACTAAAAACCATTAAAATGAATTGATATTCGAAGTAATTGAAAGACGTTAGGGATAATTTTGAAACATTTGCAGTAAATTTAAGCACTAAAAGAAGGAAAGGCAACCATTAGGGATAAGTAGAATCTATTAAGAATCAAACATGGTAATTTAGAGGCATTGGGTGTAATTAAGAGACAGAAATTGGTAGTCGTTGACATGAATTAGAAACAATTTGGAGTCATGTCTATGTATTTTGCATTAGAAATTGGGAAATATAGGAACCAACCAAAAGAGCTATGGAAAGGCATTAGAAAGTATTGAGATGTATTAGGAACAATTTGAATAATCAGTCGGTGTAACCAACAGCCATTGGGAGTAATTTTGAAACATTCGCAGTAATTTGGTGACATTAAAAAGTAATAAGGCACTACATTTAGATATAAATTAATTTAAATGAAAATAATTTCGTAGTTTATATTTAAAGTTTTATTATCAATTTCGTACTTTTGTGTCACATTTTATTATACTATTTTGTTGCCGTCTTTTTATATTAATTAAAAACTTACCATTCCATTTGATGCTGCTAGTCCTAAACCTGCTGCACTAAGACTACTCATATGATGATGATAGGATGCTGTTGGTGGTGGCGCAGGTGGTGGAGGTCCAGAAACGAATCCTTGAGGATGTCCACCGTGTTGATACCAATGACTCATGGCGTGATGTGGGTGAAGTGCCGGGTTGAGATGAGGATGTCCGCCGCCACCCATCGAACCAAATCCACCACCTCCAAAAGCTCCTTTACCGCTATCCAAAGGTTTCATCATGTCCGTCATCATTCCTCCGAGTGATAAACAGCCGCCGCTTTTCTTCTTCTTGCTTTTCGAGGAGAGTTTCCTGTTCCTCGTCTGGATGCCCTCCTTTTTCATCGTTAGCGGTCTATTCACCTGAAACAATTGGAACGGAATAAGCCGCGGAAACTTGATACGGCTATAAGAACTACAAGAAGTTATACAAGGACAAATCGCAACGTTTCGGTGGATACAAAGACGGCGCCCGTCGGTGCGTGGGTCGGAAGAGTTATGGCGTCTAATTCGGACGCTACAGGTGCTCGGCTACCGCATTAATAAGGACTGAGAGTATCGCGCCATACCCAGGAGACGTCAAGTGACAAATGGATTCGTTTCGGTTTTTCAAATTCCGACCGAGTTATTAGCCGCTCTACTCTCTCTGCTCCTGTGTATAACGTTTAAACAGAAGCTCACTGTCGTCTTATCTCGTGCAGAGCACGTCAGATCATCTCGGAGAGATGAGCGCGGTTTTTCGCCCGACGGATCCTCCGCTTGGCATCGACTTTGTGCCGACTCCCATAATCTGGACGCACAATCTCGACTAAATTAGAGTTATGCTTTATGGCTGTCAAGTCGAAGTGAAGGCGGCAAAGACGGTATATAGTTACGATTCACTCAAATTTAACTTGTGAATAGTATTTTAATGAGGTAAAAAAAAATTTACTTTACTATACTCTATTTTTTTAATTCGGAGGAGTAAAATGTACGGCTAAACCTGATTGCGTTTAGTTCTCGGTCTAGTGTTAGATCTAGTTTTACACTCTCACTAGAACTAACACAAGACCTAGAACTAGAATCATTCGAGTTTAGCCGTCTTGAGAGACGTGCGGCTAAACCCGAATGATTCTAGTTCTAGATCTTGTGTTAGTTCTAGTTTTACACTAACACTATCACTAAAACTAACACAAGAGCTAGAACTAGAAACATTCGGGTTTAGCCGCACGTCTCTCAAGACGGCTAAACCCGAATGATTCTAATTCTAGATCTTGTATCAGTTCTAGTTGTACACTAGTACTATCACTAGAACTAACACAAGACCTAGAACTAGAAACATTGGGGTTTAGCCGCACGTCTCTCGAGACGGCTAAACCCGAATGATTCTAGTTCTAGTTCTTGTATTAGTTCTAGTTGTACACTAGCACTATCAGTAGAACTAACACAAGACCTAGAACTAGAAACATTCGGGTTTAGCCGCACGTCTCTCAAGACGGCTAAACCCGAATGATTCTAGTTCTAGTTCTTGTATTAGTTCTAGTTGTACACTAGCACTATCAGTAGAACTAACACAAGACCTAGAACTAGAAACATTCGGGTTTAGCCGCACGTCTCTCAAGACGGCTAAACCCGAATGATTCTAGTTTTAGATCTTGTGTTAGTTCTAGTTGTATACTAGCATTATCACTAGAACTAACACAAGACCTAGAACTAGAAACATTCGGGTTTAGCCGCACGTCTCTCAAGACGGCTAAACCCGAATTATTCTAGTTGTAGGTCTTGTGTTTGTTCTAGTGGCAGTGCCAGGTAGCGCTAGTTAGCATAAGATATTACTATGTTGTATATTTTTATTGAACTAAAACTAGAACTAATACAAGACTTAGAACTAGAATCATTCGGGTTTAGCCGTCTTGAGGGACATGCGGCTAAACTCGAATGATTCTAGTTCTAGGTCTTGTGTTAGTTCTAGTGGCAGTGGTAAGTAGAGCTAGTTAGCATCATTTTGAAAACACTCCTCCAAATTAAAAAATAAAGTATAGTTTGAAAAATGGAAGTGTAAATTAGTTTTATTTCATTTTATACATATTTTAAAGTCTGGTCTTTCATATAAATTCTTTTTCGACTACGTTTAACACTTCTGATTTATACTAATTGGAACTGGTTCCTCTCTCTTATTTTAGTTATACACAGCCCGCGGCCGCCATTGTAGCCGAACGTGGAGTACAAACTCGAACTTATTTACAGTTATTAACAACGTTTTCGTTCCTTCGGCGGCCGTAAATCCCAGGATTTCGGCGCGCACGGTAGCGTTTATTATCTGTCTGGATGGCAATTACTTTTCTTTCGACCTAATTTGTAACTGCGGTAATTGCCGTGGAAACTGTTTCGAGAACGTTAACTAAAAAGAAATTAAATTAATAAAAAAATAACATTTTTAAGAATAAAGAAAGAAAAAGTTTCGAATAAAAAAATGAACGGAATAAACGATGAAACTTAACCGTTCTACTACGTCTTTCGAAGCGACCAACGATCGATCAACTGGACGCCAGGGAAACACCTGCAGGATCTTTTTGGTTCCTCCAGATCCAAGTGTTAGTATACAGTGACAATGGATATTAATTTCGACGCAGAACGTCATCGTAACCTTCTCAATCATAATGACATTTTTTGGGATAAACAAGTTGGGCTTTCTCATTTCATTTCAATTTGTAATTCAAAAATACCATACAAAACGAGATTATTAGATGGGATAGTTCAAATTATAGATGAATCTTATTTACAAAAAGAGAAGGCAACTTATAATGTTAAACAACTATAATCACGACGGTGCGTATATTTACTTTACGCAGACCACGAGGAAGAAAAGAGGGAGAAAAGAAGAAGTGGAGAGTCTGAGCTGCAATTTTAATCGTGCACGTTTATTTAAACCGTCGCGACTGACGTGCAATTTTCCCCTTGTCATGCGACTAAACGCCGGCCTGATTCACGTGCCGTCGCGGACAATAAATTTAACCTAATTTAGCGTTATTACAACCTTCGGGCGCATTCCTGACCGTGCAAATTGCCCTCACACTGAAATTACCGTCGCGACGCAGTATATTTGAAAAAATGTGTAGTCAAGACTGTAAGATTTCAGGAACCAAATTGTTAAATATGGCTTTTTGATAGCAGAGTGAAAGAAGTTGATTAACAAAGTGATGGAGTCACATTAATAAACATTAACCAAAATTAAACTGTAAGGTAGAGGGCAAGTAAAAGCTTTTCCACAATGACATTAACCATATTCGTGGTGGGTGCCAAATGAAACATGCTATTATATGATTCTTGCATGACATCTGCATAATTTATGCCACGGAAAGTAATCAAAATATTCTACGAGAGAAAAACAAGGCTATAAACGCTTTAGAATGAAATGAGATAAGTCCAACTTCTCGTCAGATCTATCTGAATATGAGCTTTCTTCATTATCTTCTTGTGTTTCTAAATGTGTGAAAAGAAAGCAACATGATGTAAATGAATTAGATTGAACAAGATGCGAGACTACAATTCATAACGAATTTTTGTCAGAAATTGATCGAATAATAGAAGGTATTGTTACTCAAAGTTCACATATTTCTTCCGATTCTGGTCACGAGAATGCAGAACTTCGACATATAACAATTGTATGGAGCCTTATTGGTGACAGTACAAAAGAGCAAAGCAGATTTTTTCAGAATGTTTAGAACCGATAAAATTTTTGGGTTGTAATTCATGGATACACATCGATATGACGCTCAAGACAAAGAGGGCAATGTGATGCAAAGAAACGTGGAAATGGTAATATTTTTAGTGTGGATACGGATGTGAACCTTGCTTTCCATTTCCTCTTATTGGTCGAAAAATCCTATTCTATAATAATCTCCACGATATTCTTGTTAGGAAGTGGTGTCAAATAACTCCATTTCTGGATATTCTAAAAATTTTTTCCATAATAAATTATTCTGGAAGAATACTTAAAGGCGACGTCAAGATGTTAAACCAAATTTGTTCTTAGAATCATCACTATTGAACCTAAATTGGTTGTGAATGTATGAAGTTTGATCACGTAATAACTAAACGACTATCTTAGCAATTGTAAGAAGAAATCGCCAATTCTTTCAAAATCCTGTCCAACCTATTTTTGTTTTATATCTTAGTTTGATAACATTGACAATTTAACATTCACAACATATACGAGATCGCTTGCAAACAAAGTGTTGCTATTGAGACTTTCTACACTCATTACATCCAAAAGACATAAAGCAACATATTTTCAGTATCGATTTTTTATGAATCAAGATCGAGGTTTGTTTTTGATGGTAACGGTTGTATCGCCTCGCTCGTAAACGATCTCGGCTATATTTAATCTTAATCGTGAAAGATAAAATTACGCAAGTTTGGTATACAAATAAGTATTGTATACAAATTTATCTTAAACTGTATGTTTTACTGTTTACTTGTTTATTGTTTTGCAGTATCTAGCAATGTCTCAGCTGCAACTGGGTTCGCCCCGGATTTCTTTCGTTCTTCAAAGATAAGTTCGGTTTGTTATACAATAGTCATTAGCATACCAACGTTTCGAAGTTGTATCTCCATCGGCGGAGAGTTTAGCTGTAATTATCTCATTGCATTTAAAAGGTATTAAGTAGCTGTTATTGAATTACTGTTATAACCAATTTTCCAAAATGCAGATGTTGGCAGCGATTTATGTTTAATTGTATCGGTTAAATCGGCCACTAGCAACCTTGGTTATAAAGCCTTGAACAAAATATTTACAAAAGGTCATACAACATCTTATAACCTAACAGTATACGTCGAGTAGTATAGTCCATCGAGCAGGTTATGATCACATCATTAAGATGCGTACTTGCTAAATTTCAACATGGATAGCTACTTCAGTCTGGATGTAGACTTTGATAACAGAGCAGCAAAGGCATTAGTTTTAGAAGACTCTTGTAATATACGCTTGACCAAAGTAGTTTGTAATGATGAGATCTTTCCAAACAAGTGTCATGTTATTTGTATCATGAGGTTCTATATTTTACTTTTCAGCTGTGGAATCTGAATGAACTTGAACAACCGATTTGGGTTTTGAGACATTATAATATACTATGAATTTTGATCATATTTAGCTAAACTATACGTTTTCACCTTCTAACCTAGTTGTAGCCCAGTACACTATTTATGCTGACTCATATGGTTAAAATGGTTTAACATTAATCAAATGAAATGATCAATAAAACTTGTATTCGTTGTAAATAACCGTTAATTATATCAATATTATCCCACCAGTCATAACATTTAAACTTAATCCATCAACATAATCTTCTTCTTAGCAAACAGTAGATACGATAAAACATTTTTTCATTCCTCGTAGTCATTAGCATATCAACGTTTCGAAGTTGTATCTGGGTTTTAAAAGATTAAAACGTTGGATTATTGGAATATGCGCTTGATCAAAGTAGCTTGTAATGATGAGTCATCTTTCCAAAGAAGTATCATATTATTTGTATCACAAGGTCCTATATTTTACTTTTCAGCTATTTAAGCTGTGGAATCTGAAAGAACTTGAACAACCGATTTGGGTTCTGAGACATTATGCTATACTATGTATTTTGATCATATTCATCTAAACTATACATTTTCACCTTCTAACCTGCTTGTAGCCCAATAAACTCAAAATTGTTTAACATTAATCAAATGAAATGACCAATAAAACTTGTATTCGTTGTAAATAACCCTTAATTATATCAATATTACCCCACCAGTCATAATATCTAAACTTAATCCATCAACATAATCTTCTTCTTAGCAAACAGTGGATATGATATAAATTTTTTTCATACCTCGAGATCTGATAAACGGTTTCGATTACTTTAAGTTTGTCGGAATTTTTTTAAGATCAAAGGGAATTGAAAGGACAATACAGAAAAAAAAAGGAAAAGGTAAAGGGAGCGTAAACGAATAACATCCCGAAGTGTAATTTAAGATGTCACAATGACGTAGAGAACTAAGTGTCGTCGAGTGGGGCGGCGATGTTTGAGCAAAGAATGCTGCAAGAGTAGTGACAACAAACGACGGGAGTTCCGATGCTATTGTAGGGGATAAAGTATCATTTTGGGGTGTATTGTACCGAGGAAAAGTATCTTAAGGAAGGACTAATGATAGGGCAAGGGGATGTTAGTAAGAGATTTAATGTTTAGATTAGACGCTAAATTTATGTATCCTTCTTTTTTCTGGTACAATAGTCCTTTTCGCAACCGTTATTGTTACACTGTTGTGTTTAAAATTATTATGTATCATAGTTTCTTTATATATGTTATATTTGTGTGTTTGTCTTCATTATTTTTCTTTGTTTTGGTTTGTAAGACAAATAAAGACGAAACCGCGGCTCCTTTGTGCAGTACGACGTTGTCGACGTCGTCTCTCATATTAATAACATAATCAGTATTGCGAGTGCGAGTCCCGGTCAGTGCACGGGGGCGCCTTATCCTCTTCGTTGTGCCGAACGGAGATGGACACATCGCGATGACGAGGAGAGACCGAACACGGTCGGTTGCGGCTCCCCTTGATATTGTATTCGCAATTTTCATCTTCTGGCCGGACGACGCGTGACGTCTTCACGAGGAATGCCAGAAATTGTCGGTCATATAATTATTATGTGCAACAATATACGGGTGCGATTGAATGGGAATTGTTCGGCGAACGGTTTCGTTCACACAAAGGGGTTGTCGGGTTCGGTTGTTGGTTGTATGCAAATTTTGGGAATAGCCGCGATATATTTATTTATATTTATTTATTGATGGTGTCGGCCTTCGAACGATTCTCGGAATGCGTTCGATGTATGAACGTGTCTTGAGTTCCAAAATTTTATCTCACCGTGGAAAAAAATTTGTTATCATTATCATTATCATATGAGTAGGTATCGTTGCGATTTGGGATAATTTTTAATTAATAAATACTTACATTATGTAGTTTGTAGTAGAGTCCACAGGCATTACAGACTGGTTCGCCGTTTTGGTTACGCCGCCAGAGTGTTGTTGTGGTGGTCTTGCAGTTCGCACAGCTGGTTCCTGCCCGTCTCGCGGCGCTCTGCAGGCTCTGCAACGTCAAGAACAGAAAAGACGCCGTCAGTCACGGACTAGAAGCAACCGAACGGAAAATCCCTCTCAACCCAACCGAACAAAATCCCAACAAAAAAATTAAAAAGTGCTACTACTAATAAAAAAAGAACAGAAAAAATCTCGTTGCCGATGAGAACCGCGTCCCGACGCTCTCATCGTCGGTTTTCAGTTTTCACCGTCGTCGGGAACTCGACGGGACGAGAATCCATTGTCGGACTTAATTGGACAGTCGATCCCGGAGATAAGAAGGGATTCCTGCTGCTTCAGCGGGAACTTAACGACCCTTCGACGACAGAGGACAGGAGAGGAAACGGTGAGAGGGACGCAAATCGAACTTTGCCACCACCACCACTTTGATTGATTGAAAGATACTAGGGGCGTATATATAGGCGGGTTGTAAACAACCGATAAATTGAATTAATGTCGCGGGGCGAATTAGTCGCTCGGAATCGCGTAATTGTATTGCTTTTCGTGGATAATAAAGTTTCGTGGCGTCGATTGGGGTTAATGGGGTGTTTGCAGGGCGCGAATATGCCGAGAACCCAATCGAATTTACTCTATAACCATGTTTAATTGGATGAGAGATTCAAATATGTAACTAATTTTAAACCAATTCATCAAATACTAAGAGAAAATATATTTTTATGTTTGTTAACCTTCGAGCCCTCGATTTTATAACACGAGAAGGCGTGTGTCGTAAATTTTATGGCATCAAGTCGGTATTAACCATAAATAACATAATATAAAATCAATGAAATCGAGTAATTTTTGAAATTTAACAACATTTACAAACTACATACCGAGATTAACTTGCAATATATAAATGCAGTAACAGTATGAATGCACTTGCACTGTCCAGAATAAAATGCAACATAGCTTAATAGTACAGGAATTGAGTAGTTTTGCTTCGAAAAAGATGACGTCAAAAGTATAAAAAAAAGTGTACCTTTTCTAACCAGTGGATAGTGTTAGTTCTAGTTTTAGTTTAATTAGAATATGCAGCATGGTGATATCTTATGCTAACTAGCGCTACCTACCATTGTCATTAGAATTAACATTAGACCTAGAACTATACTCTATTGTTTAATTCGGAGGAGTGTTTTCAAATTGAAAAAAGAAGGGTTGCTAGTGGTCAGCTTTAAGCAAAAATTACACTAGGAAAATGCGAGATGATTCTAGTTCTAGGTCTAGTGTTAGTTCTAGTTTTATTTTAATAAATATATACAACATAGTAATATCTTATGCTAACTAGCGCTACCTACCACTACCACCAGAACTAACACAAGACCTAGAACTAGAATCATTCGGGTTTAGCCGTCTTGAGAGACTTGCGGCTAAACCCGAATGTTTCTAGTTCTAGGTCTTGTGTTAGTTATAGTGATAGTGCTAGTGTAAAACTAGGTCTTGTGTTAGTTCTAGTTTTAGTTCAATAAAAATATACAATATAGTAATATCTTATGCTAACTAGCGCTATTTACCACTGCCACCAGAACTAACACAAGACCTAAAACTAGAATCATTCGGGTTTAGCCGTCTTGAGAGACGTGCGGCTAAACCCGAATGTTTCTAGTTCTACGTCTTGTTTTAGTTCTAGTGATAGTGCTAGTGTAAAATTAGAACCAATACTAGACCGAGAACTAGAAACATTCCAGTTTAGCTGCACGTCTCTCAAGACGGCTAAAGCCGAATGATGCTAGTTCTGGGTCTTGTGTTAGTTCTAGTTATAGTGCTAGTGTAAAATTAGAACTAACACTAGACCTAGAACTAGAAACATTTGATACTTTCTAGGTCTAGGTCTAATGTTAGTACTAGTTTTAGTTCAATAAAAATTTATTTTTTATTTGTAGGTTTTAGGGTTTATTTGTAGCTACATTAATTTTTTCGTCATTATGCATCGTGGAAAGGAGAAGAACGGCTTTAGTTTTGTGTGGTACATAAGAAATCAACATTTTGTTTGTTTGAAATCGAAATAATGTCGAATTAACGGCTTAACTTTTATTTGATAAAAATTCTGATGAGATTTCTCGCTTGTTCTTTTTTATTGTTCTAGTCAGTGTTATTTTCTTCTGTAATAGATAGTCTGCTAGAGCAACGCTAGTAATGTTTATTTGTCGCAAAGAAATGGGCATACAATAGTCAACAATACAAGAAAATAATAATAATATTCAATAAAAAATGCAATTTAAGTATTCCTCTATTGAATAGAAGGAGTATTATAGTAACAATCCCTTCACTTTCCCTCTGAACATGGCAATGGCAACTCAGAATAGGCTGATGGCAATTTATTATACAATTTTATGCACATATAATTAGTGCTCTGTTGTGCTCTTTTGATGCGGTGTTGTGGAATGACGATCCTGTGCTTCTGCCTAGTGTCATGTTGGTGGATATCACTATGAGATGAATATCTCATTATGTTCTTATGCAGAAGGGTAACTGCCGCCAGTATATAGACACTAGGGACACTTAATATTTGCATCGCATTAAATATGCTTCTGCAGCCATCTCGCGGTCCTGCACACGCCAAAGCTCTAAGGGCTTCCTTTTGCTGGATTAAGAGCTTGGAAGTTTGAAGCGATGATCCCCACACCTCAATGCCATATTGAAGTATGGAATTAAAGTGGCTGAAGTAGGCGGTTCTAGCAGCTTCATGGGTTGACCTCATTCTTCTGATGAGGTAGGTTGCTGTGGTAAACTTTTTTGTATCATATTCTACATGTAAATTTCATTTCAGGTGGGAATCTATGTTAAGACCAAAGAATTTAATCGTATGTCCCGTATCTGGCTCTCTATTGGTAAGTATGAGTGATTGCGTCTGTTTTCCATTCAGTCTTAGCTTATTGCTGGCGAACCACTCTTTCGCTTCCAGCTCGACTTCTTTGGACCTTCCGAAGAGTTTCTGTCTGTNAAACCAATTCATCAAATACTAAGAGAAAATATATTTTTATGTTTGTTAACCTTCGAGCCCTCGATTTTATAACACGAGAAGGCGTGTGTCGTAAATTTTATGGCATAGAGTCGGTATTAACCATAAATAACATAATATAAAATCAATGAAATCGAGTAATTTTTGAAATCTAACAACATTTACAAACTACATACCGAGATTAACTTGAAATATATAAATGCAACAACGGTATGAATGCACTTGCATTGTCCCACATAAAATAGCTTAATACTACAGGCATTGAATAGTTTTACTTGGAAAAAGATGACGTCTTTATCACAATCTTCTACTTTTCGTTTAATAAAAATATCCCACATCTAATGCTGAATAACAAAACTAGTACTAACACTAGACCTAGATCTAGAAACATTCGGATTTAGCCGCACGTCTTTCAAGACGGCTAAACCCGAATGATTCTAGATCTAGGTCTTGTGTTAGTTCTAGTAATATTTAGTGATAGTTTTCTAGTGTTAGTTTGTATATTTTGGATGTGACAAGAGTGGAGTAGCTACTTTGTAGTAATTAGTACACAAATTATCAACATTAAAGATAGAAGGATTTTGGATTTAAAAATGTAAGCGCTCAATTAATCAAAATTTCTATATATTGAGGAGGTTGAGCCATTTATGATCTTGAAATCTTATATACCTACTAATACTAAATAATAAACCACCGAAAAACTATGTCACAAATTCGAATTTCTATTATTGTGGTAGAGTAACAGACAAAAGTATAAAAAAAAGTGTGCCTTTTCTAACTAGTGGATACGCCCAGCACTTTTTGCTACGTAGTTTTTAGATTTTAAAGAAAAATATTGTTTTGTTGATATTAAAACTACATTTTAGTTGTAATATTTCTTTCATTTACACTGAAAGAATGAAATGATTGTGCATGCTGTAGGGTTAAAAAGAAGCATCCTTTTCCTCCAACTTACAAATAGCATATGGAAAATAGCATCAAATTGGTGAAGTTTACGTCTTGCTTAAATTAAATGTAGTTTTAACACTATAAAAGTAACGGCTTCAACGCTAACGGCTACAAACCACATGATTTCGAGGTCATCATGTAGATTTTGATTGGCTACATAACAACATGCATTAATAATCAGTTTAAAAAATGTATTTTGACTACGTTAGATGATCCCGTTAGTTCAATTCGGCTTAATGATAGACTGATAACCTAGTCTCTTTGCTCGCAGGTCAAGTTAGGAGCATCTACCAACTAACCTATCTATACTTTTGAGTGTTATCTGATTAGCTTTATGTCTAACATGATGCTTCTAGTTCCGTCTGCCATCAAGGTAGAGACCGAGATATTTTGTTGATTTTGCTTGAGGAATGAGTCATCCTCCAAGAGACACAGTTAATTTGCTGTTAAGATGTTAACCTGTATTTTGCAATCCCTAGACCATTTAAGAATTTTGTTGTAAATATTTGAAGTTTTTCCATAGCTTTCATTTAAGTTGAGGTTGTATCTATGTCAGAACGAATATGCCAAGTACAGCATCATTGGAAATTGAAATATCTGGGATATACAGTAAATAAAGAAGTGGTCGTGTTTAGGCTAAACCCGAAACTTTCTAGTTCTAGGTCTAGTATTAGTTCTAGTTTTATTTTAATAAAAATATACAACATAGTTTTAGTGGTACATAAGAAATCAACATTTTGTTCGTTTGAGATCCAAATGATGTCGAATTACCGACTTGACTTTTATTTGATACAAATTCTGATGGGATTTCTCGCTTGTTCTTTTTATTGTTCCAGTCAGTGTTATTTTCTTCTGTAGTAGATAATCTGCTAGAGCAACGCTAATATAATAATAATGTTTATTTGTCGCAAAGAAATGTGCGTACAATACAAGAAAATAATAATAATATTCAATAAAAAATGCAATTTAAGTATTCCTCTGTTGAATAGAAGGAGTATTGTAGTAACAATCGCTTCACTTTCCCTCTGAAGATGGGCAACGGCAACTCAGAATAGGCTGGTGGCAAGTTATTATATAATTTTATGCACATATAATTAGCGCTT